TTTTTAATACGCCGGGACAAAAAAATTCCGTTATAAATTCATAACTTCTTCATCCGACGTCCGTTCTCGCCTAACTTTTCATTGCTTCGATACCAACAACGAGATCTTCGATTCTCATTTAGATTGTTTCAGCTAAAAACTGCTCGATCATAAATCGAGTATCTCGGGTTGCATACCGCTAAGTCGAAACTTCAATAATTCATAACTTCCTCATACGAAGTTAGATTTGGGCGTTCTATATATATTCGGAAACCTCGTTTCAACTACTACAACATTATCCAAAGATATCAAGTTTATTTTACAGTTAAATTTTGACGCTTATTTTTATTCTTAATTAATCAAACCACATAATTAAGCAATTAAGCACAAAACACATACTACTCAAATAATACATTTCTATTATTTTAATATTGGTCACAAAGGTTAACCTAGACTATTATATCAATATTAATGATAGGCCCAACAACACAGGCGTTACAAATATATTATTGACTTTGTAAAAATAAGTTTTTGAATTACTTATTTTTAAACTTGAGAAATATTATATATATATATATATATATATATGTGTATATATATATATATATATATATATATATATATATATATAATTATTTATATTTACATAATATGATCCAAAATATGACTATTCAAAATATTTTTGATTCAAAAAAAATTTGATTCAACTTGTTTATGGTCTTTAATATGTTATGATTTGAAAATATTTAGACTAAAATATTTTATAACCCTTAATTATATCTTTTATGATTTAAAATACACAATGACTCATTTTTTTGAACAAAACCTATATTTACTTGAATATATTATTGATCCAAAATCATATGATTCAAAAATACTATAATGTAAAATAATTTGATTCAAAATTTTATGATCCAATTAATTAAAAAAATATGAACAAAAAACATTATGATCCTTAATATTTTCTTTTTATTAATAATTTTATATTTTTTAAACATTAAAATTTTAAATCGATATTTATTTTAAAAAATCAAATAAATAAAAAAACAATCAAAAAAATCAAAAAACTTTCAAAAAAAACTTGTATCTTCAAGTTTGAAATAAAGATATTAAAAAAACAAAAAAAATTTACAATAAAATAAAAATAAAATAGAATAACGAAAAGAAACAAAAACGTTAAAACCGAGCATATATACATATATATATATATATATATATATATATATATATATATATATATATATATATATATATATATATATATATATATTATTTTTTAACGAACAATAAAAAAAATTAAAAAACGAAAACAATATTGAAAACATTAAAACCGATCATATATGTGTTTAAAAAATTTTAAATTTTTTTAACAAAAAATAAAAAAAACAAGAAAAAAAAAATAAAAAACAAAAATAAATAATACTCACTTAATTCACGTTCTATGGACGTTCGTCGCATGATTAAATCATCGAGTCCCTATTGGTTAACATGGATGTTGGTCGTATGCTAACACACCACGACCAATTATTTGAGTTTGACGTTTGTGCACTTGATAAAATAGCTCGTGAAGTATTGTCGTTACAATGCTCACTTTTTTTTGACTCCTCAGCGGAATAGGATCCCCCCCCCCCCCCCCACACACACACACACACACACACACACACATATATATATATATATATATGTGTGTGTGTGTGTGTGTGTGTGTGTGTGGTAAGGTTCAATAAAGAATCATAATTATCCAATGAACCAATTTTTTTTTCAACTTTTAAAACTTATTTTTATAAAAAAAACCTAAAAATACAGAAATTTATAATTTATTTTATCATATTTCCAATGATATAAAATTCGATAAAAAAAAAATTCATCAAATTCACAATGTGAATCTTTGAAAATTCACAATGTGAATATAAATTCACACGGTGAATCCGAAAAATATATTTAACATTCACAATGCTAAGTTATGAATTTAGATATTTTTAGTTTTTTTTTCGATAAAGAATAAAACCTAGAACTTAAAAAAAAATGGTTAATTGGAGAACCAATAATTATGTATAAGTGAGTCACATTATAAGTTAGAGAACTTGCAAGGTTTTTTAATTGTATAAGTGAGTCACATTATAAGTTGAACATATGGTAAGTAAAAGAAAGTATAGAAAAGCTAGAGAACTTGCAAGTTTTTTTTAATTATATAGGTTAGTCACTTTAGCATATGAAAGAGGTTTTCATTATAAATTAAAGGAACAATTTACTATAGACAAAATTATAAAAATGGTCCCTATAGTTTATCAAAAATCACAAAATTAATCCCTGCTAATTTTTTTTTATGCAAATTATCCTTGTGGTTTGCAAAACTTGCAAAGTTGGCACTTTTTACTTACACCGTTAATATACAACTATTAGAGACTGAATTTGTAAGGGCATTTTTGTCTTTTTAAGTATAAAAGAACTAAATTCGTGACATTTTTTGATAAACCACAAGGATCATTTTTGAAGTTTGTTTGGAAAAAAAATAACTATTAGAGACTGAATCTATAAGGGCATTTTTGTCTTTTTAAGTATAAAAGAACTAAATTCGTGACATTTTTTGATAAACCACAAGGATCATTTTTGAAGTTTGTTTGGAAAAAAAATCAATTCACTGAAGGAAGGGGGAAAGGCTCGAACTTGAGACCTTCACCCGCCCCTAAAATGACAAAAGGCCTTAACCATTTGAGATGGAAGCTGACTTGGTTATAAATTCCTAAAACTAACTTATATAGTAACAAAATCGTTAATACATAAATAATAAATAAATTATTTAAAACATTTTTATTACGTTATTATTTTTTTAAATAAAACAAAATTTATTTTAGTCGTATTATAAAAAAAAAGTTCTTTACAAAAAGTTTGTATGTATTTTTTATGTATTTATTTAACATAAAATATATTTTTTTATATCTTTAAAAAATAAGTTTCGTATAAAAAATATGTTTTTGTAAAATATTTTTTTTATGTCTTTGAATTAATAATAATTAACACTACTCACGTCATAAAAAAATATATAAATTCTTTTGGATCACTAGTTCTAAAATACGTATTTCATCTTATTTCAAAATACATATTTCATCTTATTTAAAATACGTATTTCATCTATTTTAAATACATATAAACGAAAACAGTTTTCAAAAAACTGACTGAACCAATCGGTTTTCTGAAAACAATTTTTCGGTTCCATGTATTTAAAAAAACTTATTCAGTTATATATCTTATTTAAAATACGTATTTCATCTTAATCGTAAGTTCTAAATCGTATGGTTAAAATGAAGATGAAAATAAATAGTTATATAGCTTTTTGAAATAATGATAATTAATTGAATACTTGACATTAAAAAAAAATATCGTATAAATTATTTAAATACATAACAAAATCGTTGTTAAGTTGTTTTCAATACATATAACCGAAAAACGGTTTTAGAACTAGTGTTAATTATTTTTATTTCAAAGACATAAAAAAATATATTTTACGAAAACATATTTTTTATTCGAAAACGTATTTTTTAAAGATATAAAAAAAATATTTTATGTTAAATAAATATATAAAAATACATATAAATTGATTGTAACAAACTATATTTTTATAATACGACTAAAATAATTTTTTTTATTTAAAAAAAATTACATAAAAAAAATGTTTTTAATAATGGGAAAACTGCAATAAAGTCCCTAAGTATTGCCCGTATAATCGATTTAGCCCTTATATTTTTTTTTTGCAATTTAGTCCTAAATACCTGTAAACGTAATCAAAACGAGATATTTAATAGGTTAGCCGGTATCTAACTGATGTGGCAGCTTACGTGGAAGTCATCATGTGAAATAACATCCTATGTGCCATTTAAGAGGGCTAAATCATTGAATCGAGCTCGTCTTCTTCAATCTCCAGTCAAAGGAGCGAACGATTAGGGCAAATTGGCAACAGGAAATCGATGTCGAGTTCGTCAAGCACCAACATCAGAACGTGCTATTGTGGAGATACGGTTGGGATGTGGACATCATGGACTCGAAAGAATCCAGGTCGGAGGTTTTTTGGTTGCCCAAATTACATGGTATAGAATCTTCAAAACTCACTCAAATTCTTCTAATCCTCTAAATTTCCCATTTTTCTATGTTAAAAACATGCATCTTGCTATGTTATGTAGGATGAAGAGAAGGACTGTGGGTATTTTCGTTGGATTGACCCACCACTATTGAATAAGTGGTATAAAGAAAGAATGTATGAGTTAGGAGCTGTTGCTAATGGGGGTGTAGCTATTCCTTTTAATAACCCTGTTAATGAAGGTGAAATACCTGTTGATGGCCCTATTGCCCCTGTGAATGTTGATGTCCCTATTGCCCCTGCGAATGCTCTTGAACCTGATAATCAAATTGCAATGTGTGACAATACACATGTGCCTAGTAATGAATTTGGATTCTGCAAGTGGATGATGGTTTGTTTTGTTTGTTTCATTGTAGGGATGATGTATGGTTAGTTTAGTGTAAGTTGTAGGGTATTATGGTATGGTAGGGATGATGTAATCTTTTGGTTTGTTATCATCATGATGTAATAGATAAATTTTGATGTAATAGTTTAATGTTTCGGTTAATGAAATGGCAATATGTTATTATGGTTTGCATAAATGGTGTACACTAGACAAATATAACCATGATTTAACAATTGGTGTTGAATTTGGGACTAAAATGATCACCATTGACAACAAACCAATAAAGCTCCAAATCTGGGACACAGTTTGTCTCCTTCTTTTCTTCTATACCTTATTCTCTTGTTACATTTATTATAAAAAGAAATCTTAAAAAAATCTCTTCTTTTTTCTTTATATATTTGTTAGGATGGTCAAGAATCATTTAGATCAATAACAAGATCTTACTACAGAGGTGTTGCTGGTGCCCTTCTTGGTTTGCATAAATGGTGTACACTTGACAAATATAACCATATTAAGGGCATTCACAATGTTTCAATGTGGCTAAAATAATTAAACAACAAACTCCAATATGTCATTACCAACCATGTTAAGGGCATTCACAATGTTTCAATGTGTTTACAAAAGATGTACAAAATATGGTTATCAGTAATTTAAGGGCATTCACAAAAGATATACAAAAGTAGCATTCACAAAAGATGCACAAAAGTAGCATTCACAAAAGATGTACCAAAATACCCTTACTACCCTTAACACCCTAACACCCTAATCCAACTCCAATGGTGAATTTGAAGAAGTCCAACACATCCCATCTTCTTCAGCTTGGTTTTAACAATCCTCTCAGAGGGCCTTCTTTTTTTCACAATCCTAAGGTGTACTGGTAATTCATGGGTGTCATTAATGCCTTCTTCTTCTTCCTCACTTTCTGGTTGTGTCTCAGGGATATTTTCTTCATCCCCATCTTGTGTCTCTGTCTGAGGTGGATACTCCTCTTCCTATAAAACATCAAGCAATTAATAACATAAACGAATGTAAACATTAAGGTAATATAGAGGGTTTACCATAGACATAGGAAGAACTTGTTCAATAGTGTCATTGTAATCATTGAGTTGTTTCATATGTGAATCTGTCAGACTAAGTGACTTTTTAATTTCTTCAGTTGAATACCGTGATTGTTTCAAATCTTGCATTGCCTTCCATAAATGGACTAAATATTTTTCAGGAATAGTGTCATCCTCAACTTCAGCCACTCCACCACCTTCAACTTCAGCCACTCCACCAACTTCAGCCACTCCACCACCTCTGTTAGCCACTACATCACCTGTGTTACCCACTGCACCACCTCTGTTACCCCTCTACCACCTCTACTACCCCTTGCACCACCTCTACTACCTCTGACACCACCTCTTACACCACCTCTAGTCCAATGACTGATATCAGGATCCAATCTTGGTCTACCCATTTTTTTCTTGGGTTTGGGTTCTGGTGTGACCTTGGGATTCTTACAGGATGCCTTGTTATGACCCCTTTGAAGACAATTTTTGCATTGGACAGTCCTTCCTTTTCCTGTAACCTTCATCTTATTTTGGGAGTATTTGTCTTGAGATTCAGTGGCATGCCTCTTTCTTTTCAGAGTTGGTCTCCCTGGCATTCTTCTAGCTAAAGGGGGTAGAGGCTTTATGTATGATGTTCTAGGCCATAAATTTCTACCATTCACAGGTAGTATATTGTTTGCATATATGGCCTTGAACCTGTCCACATGAAACCACTCACTTATGAAATGAACAGGATCTTGTCCAGTGAATAATATTGCACACTGTGCATGTACACATGGAATTCCTGAGATATCCCAAAGCCTACAGCTGCACACTCTGCTTTGTAAGTTAACCACGTACCCTTCTAATCCATTCCTGGCTTCAAAAATAGATGGTCCACTTGGATTCACATTCCAATTCCTACAATGGCATTACTAAATGAAATCATAACAATGAAATTAGAATAATGATAACAAGGAACAATAAAAATGCTAAGACAAACCTCAAATCCTCTCCAAACTTGTTCATTTTTTTGATAGCAGCTGGACAAACCACTGATTCCCACTTTTCTGCCTTTTGTAACATATGGTAGAACCTATCCATCATGTACAACCTAATTTCTTCAAACATTGCTAGAAGGGGTTTCTTTCTAGCATCCAATATGATGGCGTTGAAGCACTCTGTAATGCCATTTTCAACTGCCTCACATGCTACATCAGTCCTAAAAAATGCCCTGCACCATGTGTGAGGATCTCTTGCGATCAAATGTTCATAAGCATTTGGATTAACCTCTTTTATATCATCCATTTTCCTGAGAAATTCACTCTCTACAGTTGATAAGGAAGCTGCCCAGAACATATTCTTGAACTCCACTCCAGAATAGGTCTTCCTAAAGTTAGCATATATGTGTCTTGCACACTGTCTATGCTCCACATTTGGTAGGACTTCTTTGGTTGCTTCAAGCAATCCCTACAATTTAATGAATACATAAACATATAAGATGATGTTAAGGAAAAATCATAAATATGCAAAGAAATTACAAACCTTATGTTGATCAGAAATTACAGTAAACCCTCCTCCATCTAGCAGATTAAGATCCTCTGTGAGCAGTTCCAAAAACCATTTCCAATTAGCTTTGTTTTCAATGTCAACAACTGCCCAAGCAATTGGATAAACTTGGTTGTTTGCATCCCTCCCTATTGCTGTGAGTAATTCTCCTTTACATGTCCCTTTCAAGAAAGATCCATCTAGACCAATTACCCTACGGCACCCTATTTTCCAACCTTCCTTGATTGCTTTAAAACACAAATACATCCTGTGAAAGTATGTTGTTTCATCTGGATTTACAGTGACACCAACTTGGACAGTGCTACCAGGATTTGACCTTAGTAACTCATGGCAATAGTCCCACACCCTAGCATAATGTTCTGTAAGTTTACCATCTATAATGGTCATTGCTCTACACCTTGTTCTGTAAGCCTTAGACCAAGATACACCACAATGAAATTTGGTCCTAATTATTGATTGCATCTCCTTACACTTCAAGTTAGGTTTCATTATCAACTCCTTCAAAAAGTGTCTTGCTAGCCATCTGGGACTCAGTAAATTTGAAATATTGAAATTTCTAACACATTTGTGCTCATCGACTAAGGTTTTAATCTGAAAAGACCTTTCTTGAGTCATCCAGGAAGCATGAACTCTGAATGGGCAGGGTTGAGACTTCATCTTAGAACCACATTTGGCAGTTAATCTCACAGTGTCACACTTCGCAAATTTAATGTTATACCCTGACTTAATAGCATAATTAGTGAGACATTGTTGCAACTGATGTGGTGATTCATACCTTTCACCAAGAAGGGGCTTCATCTTATTCCACTTAACTGATGGGTCGTGAATGGGGAAGCCTGCACCAACCGCATCTCCCAAATCAAGATCATTAGCCCCTGCTGTGTCATCGATTTCCTTTTCTGAACCAAACCCTTCTTCATCTTCATCAACTAAGTCATTGTCTTCATCGGCTTCATTATCTTCATAATCAGAACTGAAGTTAAGGAAAGCATCCTTGCATCTCTCTTTACCCTGTGTCTTGAAATCATCTTCTTCCAGTTCCACATCTATGTGCTCAGTATCGAGCACCTCGTCATCATCTTCGTATTCTTCATAGTCGTATTCTTCAGATGACTCATGGCGAACTTCTTCTGATTCGACAACCATTGGGTTTTACCTTCGTTTCTCTCAGTAAAACCTTACTTATTTCGTGTATCACTCTGTAAAAACCCTATCTTTTTCTCTCAATCGATTTACCAGACGTCGAATGCAGTGGAAACGGAAGGGTAAAACTCACTTGTACACGTAAGGTGGGATACCGGCTAACCTATTAAATATCTCGTTTTGATTACGTTTACAGGTATTTAGGACTAAATTGCAAAAAAAAAAATATAAGGGCTAAATCGATTATACGGGCAATACTTAGGGACTTTATTGTAGTTTTTCCTTTAATAATTTATTTATTATTTATGTATTAACGTTTTCGTTATTATATAACTTGGTTTTAGAAAGTTATAACCAAGTGAAGGTCTCAAGTTCCAGCCTTCCCCTCTTCTTTTAGTTAATTAATTTTTTTTTCAAGCAAACTTTAAAAATGGTCCCTGTGGTTTATCAAATATCATGAATTTAGTCCCTTTATACTTAAAAAGATGAAAATACCCTTACAGATTCAGTCCCTAATGGTTATGTACTAACGGTGTTAGTAAAAAGGGCCAACTTTGCAAGTTTTGCAAACCACAATGACCATTTGCATAAAAAAAATAGAAGGGACTAACTTTGTGACTTTTGGTAAACCATAGGGACCATTTTTGTAATTTTGTCTTTAATATATATCCTTTTTAAACTTTAAAATATAATATTTATGAAGTTTAATTTCTCAATATCGTATTTACCCTTCATAGACCTTAAAAATATCATAATTTCCAAAATCCTTTTTTATGTTTTTAATATTTTATAATAATTTTTATACATTAGAATTATTATAATAATTAAAAAATATAACCATATTATTTTTACGTCTATGATAATAGAATGTGAACTTTTAAATAGCTGGAATATCGGCCTCTTGACAAGCAAAAAGATTCGTCTTCAACCCTTTCTATGAAATGTATATTTTGATTGTTTAGTTTTTGTTCTTGTTGATTATTATTATGTAGAAGATGGAGAATATTTTAAATATTACCATTGATATTTTGATATTTAAAAAGTAGATATACGATATTTTGATATTTAAGAAAAGTGTATGATATTTTAATGTTTAAAAATAACATATACATTTTAAATTTTATAAAGGGTAAAGATGATATTAAGAAATTTTATGAAGGATAAATATGATATTTAAAAATTAAGTTGAATATATATGATATTTTTTCAAAAGCATATATAAAATTCTCCCTAAATTAAAAGGTATTTCTAATATTCTTTAAACATGTATGAAGAATATCTATTCATGCCCACCAAAAATTATATTTATGCTATTTTTTAAACAAAAACTGAAAACCAATAAAGAATGAAGAAAAGACAACTGAAAAAGCTAAGAGGTTGATTTTTTTTTTTAAAAAAAAACTGAAATTATCAGTTCGGTTTTAGATTTAAAAAAAATAATAATAAAAAATAAAAAACGAAGCATGCACACCTTAATACATACAAAAACATAGTTTTTTTTTTTAATTTTTTTTTTAATTTTTAGAAGTTATTTAAACAGTTTGGAGTTAAATAAAAATGAATCCCATCCACTAATTTTTTTAATTCGACAGAAAATACATGAACCACAAAACTCTAGAAACCTTGAAATTTGCTATAATTGCATAAAAATAATAATTTATCTAATTTTTTTTTGCTTTAGTAACATAACAATCGCAATATATATATATATATATATATATATATATATATATATATATATATATATATATATATATATATATATATATATGGTTAGGTTCATGTGAGACGGTTTAATTTTGTGAGACCGTGAGACGCATTTTTTTATTTTTCTGTTTAATTCAATTTCCGAAAATAATATTTAAGAAAAGAATTTTTGGATTTTTTCCATTTATTTTGCATTTTAAAATTATTTTTTAGAATATGCCAGTGTAATATTCTATTAGAATATTTCACGTATTTTTTTTATTATTTTTTATTTTTTTTAGTTAATTCAAGTTCCGAAAATAATATTTAAAAAAAGAATTATTAGATTTTTCCATTTATTCTGCATTTTAAAATTATTTTTTAAAATATGTCAGTGTAATATTCTATTTAGAATACTTCACTTATTTTAAAAAAAAAAAACGGATTTTTTAAAATTTTATTTTTATTTTTTTTAGTTAATTCAAATTTCTAAAATAATATTTAAAAAAAGAAATTTTGGATGTTTCCATTAATTTTGCATTTTAAAATTATTTTTAGATTTGGTCTCACGGTCTCACAAAATTAGAATGGTCTCAAATGAACCTATATATATATATATATATATATATATATATATATATATATATATATATATATAGATGAGGGTTCAATTGAGAAAAAAAAGTTGAGAATTGGGGAATGATTCTCAGCCATTCATTTATTTTTGCCGCAAATGCATCCGTCTTACCAGCGGAAATGGGAAATGAATAGACATGTATTTTTCAAGAAAACATATTTACTTAAACTATACTAAGCATTACCTTAATATATACAAAAACATAGTTTTTTTTTTTCGTTTTTTTTTTTTTTTTTTTTTTTTTTTTTTTTTTTTAAATTTTTTAGAAGTTATTTTTATCAAAAAATGATTTTAAATATACCAAAATTCATGATTTTTTATTTTCTACAAATAGACATCCGTATTGATATAGTTTTAAAATAAAATAAAAAATTTATTTATTTTTTATATTTTCAGCTATCGTTATTTCTAAGTGAATAAAAATGCATCAGGTTTTATTACAGTATATTCGTTATTCACCTATGAATAAAAAGTATGATTTTTGTTTTTGTTACAATTTAAGTATCATTCATATTATATTCATATTTTAATATTGAACGATGCATTCACTTGTGAATATTAACATAATATACTTGCTTGTGAATATTATATGTTATATTCACTTATGAGTATTAAATGATATTTCATATGTGAATATTACATAGTATTACATGGTATATCACATGTGAATATTACATAGTATATTCACTTATGAATATTAAATGATATATTCACTTATGAAAATTACATAATATATTCATATATGAATATTACAAGGTATATTCACTTGTAAGTATATTCACTTATGAATATTTGAAGGTAATTTGACAAATATATATAATTTTTATATGTTATTCACATATGAATAACATACATACTTCCGTATTTGTTTTGTATTTTTAATAATCATATACTGATTTAGGTGATAAAACATATTAATATGTGAATATAACGTGGTAATTTAGTTTATGCATTTCATCAAACAGTTGGAGTGCATACAAGTTAACTATTTAAAAAATGTTAAAAACATCAAGTTCTCAATTACAAATCATATATGCTTCTGATTTCGACTTCAAATACGACATCCTATGTCTGATCAATTTCTCATTTTGATTTTGATTTATGAAAATCTGATTGGGAACCTGTGAGTACCGATTCTGAGTCCTTGAATGTTGACTATGACTACGAGTCCAGAACTCCGATTCCAAATTCTTGAACAACGAAGAAATTTCGATTTAGTTAAAGAAATCTGAATGATTATTGAAAGTTGGAGGAAATTTTTTGATGATGAACGAACTGTTATCGAATTCTCTATAGTTATGTATTTGAGATTGAAAGTTATTAAAATATTTACAAGTTTACCACCGTATCTTTTTATGTTTAGATTAATTGAGTGGCTGAAAATGATTCCTCAATTCTCAATCTTTTTTATTTTCTCAATTGAACCCACCTTTATATATATATATATATATATATATATATATATATATATATATATATATATATAGTGAGGCTCAATAGAGAACTATAATTAACCAAGGAATCAAGGAACCAATTTTTTTTTTCAACTTTTAAAACTTATTTTTTATCAAAAAAAAATAAAAAAAAATAAAAATACAAAAATCCATAATTTTTTTATCCTTTTTCCAATGATATAAAATTCAATTTTTGTTTACGTCAAATTGACAATGTGAATCTTTGAAAATTCACAACGTGAATCCGGATTCACACGGTGAATACGAAAAATATTTTTCACATTCACAATGTTAATATATGAATTTAGATATTTTTAGATATTTTTTTTTCCGATAAAGAATAAGCTCTATAAATTGAAAAAAAAAAATTTGGTTCCTTGAAGAACCAATAATTATAGTTCTCTATTGAATTTTTCCATATATATATATATATATATATATATATATATATATATATATATATATATATATATATATATATATATATATATATATATATATATATATATATATATATATATATATATGCGATTGTTATTATATCACTGTTGCAGAAATCGACTTAATTGGCCGATTATTCGCTAATCGATCACTATAATCGCGCTTGGTCAATACATGTCCTATTTGTAATTAATCAGACCTAATCGGACTTAATCGGGTTTGGCGATTGCAGGTCAAATTCGGATCTAATTTGACCTAATCGTCGATTAATCGCTTATTTTGGAGGATTAAACTTAGATTTATAGATTTTTTAATAGTTTTCTTAATAATTATAGGTCACTGATTAATCATTGCCTAGCTTATTAATCCCTAATCGCTAGTCCACTGATTAGTGATCACTTAACGATTTCTGTAACCATGATATATACACACACACACACACACACATACACACACACTAGCAGCGTACCCGATGCAAAGCATCGAGGCATGTAAGTTCTTTCAGTGATTTGTTTCATTTACTAAAAATGTTATGTTCGAAAACAAAGTACATGTCGAATACAAAATAATCAAACTCTAGTATTATTTTCTACATGATACATCAAATAACCGGTAAAAAGAAATCGGTCAAAACGACACAAAATATGAAAATTTTAAGCCGTTAAAACAAAAATAATAGAACTATATAAGAATACACAAAATTTGAAAATGTGTAATAACTCATGACTGATTTATACATTATTAATCGTGCTACACTTCTTTATACACCACATTTGATGTATAAA